AGAAAAGAATTAATAAGAATGTTGAAGATCTTACTCTTGCCTTTATATACACTATCCAACTAAGAGTTACATGAAGATGTTTTGTAGGACCTTTAACACATGTCCAACTTGCAAAGCACATGTCTAACTTATAAGACAAGCTTTCTATATGTATGCCACATGCCCACTTGCATTACAAGTCACCAACATATGCAATACATGGCCAAATTTTTGGACAAGTTTTTAACCTATCAATCATTTATAAACACATATAAAGATGAAGTTGTATCTATTAAGCTTCTTAGAAGCTCTTTTAGAAGATATTATTAAATTTATTTATTTATTTTTATTTACTTCTACATATTCATATTATTTAAATAATTATTAGAATAAATATGGATGTCTATAATAATATCACTAATAAAAATAGTATTGTGTCATGTGGCAATAGTGTGAAGACAAACTCTTTTTTAAAACCAAAATTTTTTTAAACAACAAAAATAAGGATAAAAATTAAGTACCTCACAAAAATAAATAATAAAATTTAGCAATGTAAGGTCTATTTTTTTTGTATATAAATTATAATATGTAAAATAGTCAAATTCAATAAGATATTTTTGTTCAATCTAAAAAAAATAAAATTTTAAGATTGTCTTAAAATATTTAATATTTAATTATTTAAAATATTTAAATAAAAAATATCACTAAAAATATATTACTTGCCAATTTGCATTTTGAAAGATGCACAAGAGCATATTGTAAAGATCATATTGATTTTCTTGTGGCTAAATCTCTTACATAACCTGCCTTGTATAATTTTAGAAGATTGCAATGTGAGTTTGGTTAATAATGTCCATTACAATATCTTGATTTCTTGTTAAGCTCTAATCAATTATATAAATATAAATCACACTTACTAAGAAGTAATGTAAATATATTACTTAAATAAAAAAATCTTAATTAATAAGATTAAGTTCAATATTACAAAAACTCATTTCAATGGAATATAAAATCTAAAGAATCTTTTTTTTAAAATGCCTTGGATTACGACCAGAAGGCTTCTCTAGTTTAAAATAACAAAGAAAAATACACCACAATTTCATTTGGATACAATTCTATGGACACCACTATTACTTCAACAACAATTAGAGAGTTGCAAAAAGAAAATGAAAAAAAAAAAAAAAAAAAAAAAAAAAAAAAAAATCCTAACAACTAATATAGTGGAAGAAATATAGAATATTTCTATGTATATTTATTATATATTAGTAGAATATTCAAATATATATATATATATATATATATATATATATATATATTGATGTATATAATCATTCAAACAATTGTGTTTGTACTATGTTACTTAAGGTTGAACCTTCATGTATTGATCCTAATACTATTTAATATATAATTATGTAATTTTTTAAAGTTACAATTATTCTACACTAGACAATTAATTGGCTAGTAATGAATCTAAATTATAATATAATATAAGTTAGAAGCAAAAGGCAACAACTACAAGTAGTTTATACATTGATAAGTTTCAAGATTAGGATGATAAATTTAATTGTAAAGTTGTTTATTAATAGTACTATAAATAAAATATATTACTTTAAAAATTAAATGTTATTAAATCAATCATAGATAATTATCTCTACTTAAAAATTTATAAAAATATTTTAATAAATAATTTTGAATATAGATTTTTTAAATAATTAATTAATTAATTAATTTTTTAATTTATAATTTTTATTATTAACTTGGCTCTTAAAAACTATCAATTCTGGTATAAAAAATAGTAGAATTTTGTCGTATTTCAATCCTTAAAATGTATTTTAATTGGTAGATTTATACAAAAATAATAAATTTATATTTTTTAAATAAAAAACTAAAAGTTATAAAATTTAAATGATTTTTTAAGTAATTATTAGGATTTCAATGGTTATATAAGTTACTAGAATCTTATTTTGTAAAAAATTATAAATATAAATTCTCAATTAGTCTTAAATATAATTATTTTAATTGATTTAGTATTTTCTTTATTTAGTGATATTTTTTTATTTGGTTCTTGAGACAAATATCTAAAATATTTATGTACTTATGCATATTACTTATTAAATATTTATTAAATGATAGTATATATATGGACTAGTTTTTAATAAGTGAATTGGTAATAGAAATGAAAATAATTATGGGAACTAAGCTAAAGAGACCATCATTGATGTTGATATTGGAATAGATGGCATTAACAAGAAAGACAATTGTAAAGATAAGTGATATGCAAACAAATTTTCAAAAGATAAGGATTCGGAAGATAATAAAAAATATGTAGATAATTTAAAGCCAAAAGGTATCCAATAATTTTGTAGAACTCATGTAGTTCAAAGTTTAGGAATATCTAAAAAAAAATACTGCACTATTTTCTTGAAAGTATTTTTTTAATGTAAAGTATTGAGTGAACAATAGCTAATTTAAGAGACTATGTAAATCTATTAAAAAAACTAAAATATTATTTTAGGATTTTAAGTATAATGTAATTTGGTTGTGGAAAGGGTATTCGTTGTTAAATATTTGTAATTTGTTAATATAGTAGTTCAAAAGATTACAATGTAATTTATTTATTTATTTATCTTTTTTAGTAGGGTAACATAAGGACATCAATCAGAACATTCGTGGAACATTTCTCATGCGCACAAAGGCAGGAATTCACACTAGAAGAGTATGCTGGCCACACTTTGATGAAGCCATTAAGGGAGCTTGTCGTTGTTGTCGTCGCCAGGTCTGATGCTGAACCTTCAAGCTGCCATCCTCTGCCTCTCCGGTGACATCGACGATGAACAAACACTAAGCGGTGTGGGTTGCAATTGCAACTGCCCGTTGTTGCATCAGGCATCTATCTCTTGATTTTCATATCTCTGGATAAGGGAAAAAGGATTTACGATATCTGGGTCATGGTGTCAATCGCCCTCTTGGCCTCCAGTGCTGGATCCAGTGGTCGCATCCCCTGGTGATGGTGTTTCTATTGTCTACGTAAACATGTACGTGGCGAAGATATACCCTTTCCTCAACGAAACTCCCTGGCTCCAACCTTACAAATTCGAGTCTGTCGTGACGCTCACGAACATGAGTTACTCGACAGTAGAAGGCTGGGCGGTTAGACTATTTTCCAGCTGCACGAGATTATTGTAGATGTCGAAGAAATAGTGTTGAAGGACGGACGTCTAATGCTAGGATGCAAGAAGGATTTGTCGTCATTCAAGGGTATGTTCTGGTTTGGCTCGGAACAGCATGTGTGGATGGTACTATTTCCATAGAGCAATGCCTCGCTGTAGTTGCATTCTTTCTGAGTAATGTCAATACTCAACGGCATCGGATCTAACTTTTCCCCGAACGATGTCCCTTTGATGGTGAAAACTTTCTGAATCTGGGTCATGCCCCCAGCAGTCTCGATGATATTCTCCAGCAGCAATTTGAGTGAAGGTGGCACCGTTGGAGGCGTCAGCTAGCATTAGACGTTCGGACATGACGGCAGGTTGGGTTTTCCGAGGAACACCGAGGGATGCATTCCCTGATGACGATCGGCATGACAACAATGAAGGTGATCAATGATACAGAGGAGTGGTTTGAGGAGGTGTAGACATGCATAGAAAAGCGCAGCGACAGGAGCACATTCTGGATTTTTGTTTTGTTTTGTTTTGTTTTTTGTTTAGATAAAGCTAGTGTAGGAGCGAAGGAGATCAGATATTAGGCGTGGGAGATTGCGTGGAGCTTGGTCAGACAGGAGACTTGGTTTGTAAGCGCGGAGTTGGAGGGAGGGTGAGGCGAACACTACTTTGTCTAGATCCAAACCCAAGACTGTCGGTGATCATCGGTGCTTGAGGAAAACAAAATTAAAATTAAAATTAACTTCAGGTTTTCGTTGGAGCAGCGAGTGAGGTTGGCATCAAGCTGTTCAGCAGCCTGATGTTATGGTGGAGTGGGTCATTTACAAAGAGTATTTTACATTTAGAAGTCCATTTAAAAAGCAATCTTGCAGAACACATGTACATAGCTCACATTCAATCTTTTTATTTCATTTGATTGTCATGTCTGTAGACATAGATGTTGGGTAGCTGCCTCAAATCTAATGAGCAGCTCATTTGTGGGCAATTAATTGTTGGGAGTTATTAAAATATTGGTAGGAGGAATGCATAATTAAGGATTTGGGGTCTTATAAAAAAAATACACAAAAATATTTATAAGCAATTAGACTAGGTTAAGGATAAAGAGTTTATTAAAATGTTTTGACGCAAGGAGCTATTTGAATTTTCTATTCATCTTGTACTAGACATATAATAGGTACCTATTCCACAATAGTCTATTAAAAGATCTTGGTTCCAAACTATTATGATGGTTCTTCATTCATTAAAGAAAATTTGTCTGTTAGGAGCTTTGGCTTTTGGAGATAGTACAAAATAAGAAGAAGGCATAACATGGAATAAATCGTTCTTTTATTATATTCTAAGTATGGTAGCTCACTTAAGTTGTTGATGACAATGAGGAGCTAAAACAATCTTCTACATATATATACACCTTACAAAAAAATTAAGATACTCTTTTATAAAACACAAATTCAAATATCTTCTTACTCATGAAACCTTAATTTTTTTATGAAACACTCACCTCGCATCCAAAGTGCTCTTTGCTGTAGATCATGCACTGTTACACCCAACGATGAAGTCATATTCATTTCTTTCAAACAAAGAAAAAAAAGTTATATATAAAGATATATATACCCCTCAATCCATAGTATTTTTTTAATCTGTAGCTAGGTGTGCAGCCTCGTGTCATTCAGCATCATGACACCCAGAAACGCGAGTGTAGTACATGCTGACCATCTTATCTTTGCACTGAGATTCCATCTCGTTGGCCCCAATTCTGATTATTTATTTTTGGTTTTCTAGACAGTTGGAGTTGAAGTCAAATGTGGTGGGCTGGTTGTGTACCTGCTTCTTAAACTGGCCCGTGCAATTATTCCTGATCTATGATTCCTTTTGTTGTGGACAACTTCTTACACTTGAATTGTCACAATTCTTGCAGAGCATTTAAGGAAACTCTGTGGCATCCACGGCAGGATTAACACAAGGAACGGTGCGGATATCACAAGAGGATGGTGCCGTGCAGCATCCTTCTTTCTCATGTGGCTTGGTTGCAGCGCTTTCTGTATGACCCGTTGGTATCTCTGCCTTCTCCAGCATATTGTTCTTTGTGTGTCGCATCTCTTTGCCAGGAGCAGAGCGTGTTTCTCAGAGTTTGAAGCGTTGCCATGTTCATTGCGATGAATCCTCATTGCAATTGACCATGTTGTGACTAATTTTGGTTTGTGGGTTGTTGTCGAAGGTCCGAATCCAGCCTTCTATTGTGGATACTGTGAAGAATCGAAGCTTCTGATTTAAGCGTATGTGATGAGTTCATGCTTTGTCTTCTTTTTCGTTTACAGTCTACAATTTTTCTGCGCCTAGCTGCGTTAGCTTGTGTGAAGCACCCTCATGTTGAACAGAGCTGACTCCTTCCCTCTCTTTGAACTTGACACTGGACCACTTTCTTGAAAACTTCTATGAGTGCTAATTTATTAGGTAGAAACCATCATGAAAATTTGTAGATCCTCCTTGTGAAGTGTATGAGTCCCATCTTCATCAGAGATCGGCTGTAGGTGATGTGTTCTGTTCTTGACTAGGTTTCTTGGCGTTACGATTATCTTGCTGTGCGTTATATGGGTGCTGATACTTATAAATATCTCTTGGACATCATGTTGGAATTTTTACAGTAGGAAGAAATGGCTACAATTTCACTTCCATCGTATCTCAACATGGGAGAGGACGTTCGCGAACTTCATCGAGCATTTAAAGGTCTGCATCCTTCGTCTTCTTCTTATTCTTTGCTTGTCGGATTCATCTTGATTCCATATTTATTCTGTTTAAGAGCAGGAAGATTTCATATTTTTCTCACTGGCCAGATAATTTGCACATGTAATAATTTTTAAAAAAGTTTAGGCGTTGTAGTCGCTGATAGCACCATTCAAGGGTGATGGGGTTGGCAATTCGGCAGGATTCGGTTGTGATGAGAAGAAGGTCATTCAAATACTTGCTCACAGAACTCAATCACAACGTCTCGCAATTGCTGATGCATACCACCATCAATATGGAGAGAGCATTCATAAACGTCTGAAATCTGAACTTCATGGCAAACTTGAGGTGTGTACTTAGTGCTCTTGGCTTTTCGTGAAGAACAACACATGTGTTATTAAAAAATGTGACAAGGACTAGAGACCAGCTTGTTTGATTTATACTCTGTAAAATGCCCGGCAAGTAGTGGGCTTAACAGAGTCTTGTAATTGTGAGAAGTTTGGCACTGATGAGAGATTGATTTCATCTTTCAGGAGGTAATGCTTCTATGGATGATGGGCCCAGCCCAAAGAGATGCGATTTTGATATACGATTCGATGAAAGGGCTGGGCACCAAAGATTCTGCGCTGATTGGCATCATCTGTACTAGAACTCCGTCACAAATTTACGAAATCAAACAAGCTTACCAAGCAATGTACCAGCAAGCGTTAGAGAGCCAAGTTAGCGGGGACACTTCGGGTGATTATAGAAAGGTTAGTGGAATGCAAAGACGTGTAAACTATGTATAGCATTGGTTCAAAAGTTGTATCTTAACTGATATTTCTTTTTCATCAGTATCTTAAGTAGTTTTTGCATTGTGTCCATTTCACAATTCTACTCAAACTCATCCAAATAAATCAAAAGTATGGATGTTTGTAACGAGATTTCTGCTCCACAGCTCTTGCTTGCGCTTTTGAGAGGGAGTCGCTCCGAGACATTTTCTGTGGACTCCAACTTGGCACTGGCGGATGCTCACGACTTGTACCGGGCTGGTGAAGCCCGACTGGGCACAAATGAAGACATTATCATACATATTCTAACAACACGCAGCCCAGCTCAGTTAAATCTGGCATTGCAGTATTATCGGCAAACTTATGGTCACGAGTTTATGAAGGTTAGTAATACAGAGTAGTCCCTGGTACCTATCATGGGAGTAGCTCTCATACGATTTGTCCCTATTCTCTGTTGCATGTTCCTATAGTGGTTTAAAGCTAGTTTTTCAATTTAGTTGGGTGCTTATGAAAAAGGAGAAATTTAGATGTGCTGCTGAGCAACATTGAGTCTCTTTTGCATTACGTGACAAATTCCTACAATGGAACAGGCTGTGAAAAGTGAGACATCTGGACATTTCGAAGCAGCGATCCTAGCAGTCGTTCAGTGCACCTGTAATCCTGCCAAATTCTTTGCTCAGGTGCCTATAATTATGCTATCTTATTTATTATTCGAGAGTGGTTTCAATTTCCAAAAGGACAGAAAGAATGCTATGAAAGAGTGAAAATATTCTGGAACGCATTCTTTCAAGTTTATTTTGTGACTTGAAGGTTTCTTCTACACAGAATAAACATTATACAAGTATATTGAATGGTTTGCGATTGCTTTGTAGGAACTTCATGATGCCATGAAAGGCTATGGTACAAAGGATGCAGATCTGATGCGAGTCATTACCACACGGGCTGAAATCGATATGTATTACATCAAACAGGAGTTTCAAGCCATGTTCAAGAAAACACTTCAGGAAGCGATTCAGAGTAACACCTCTGGAGATTACAGACATTTCCTTCTCTCGCTTGTAGGGGATGCATAATCTTATGACAACCGAGCGATCACTTATTTCTCTGTCTCGAGCCGGTGAAAAGCTTTTGTTAGCCCACTAATGTATTTGTCCAAAGAAATAAGAAAAAGCAGAAAAAAACAAAAACAAAAACAAAAAAGAAGCTGCTGCATCAGCGAAAAAGACCAAAAACGGTGAGGTCACTTTGCGATTGCGGTGGCTGGCACACATTCTCTACCATGCTTCAAGGCTCACAGTGATTGTAGTCACACCTTTTTGCAGGAAATGAAATTGTTGTAATTTTTCCCACTTAGGCTCATTAATAAACATGGTACAATTCTCATCCTTCAATTGTCAATGAAGAACCGAAAATGCCTTGTTCTTTAAACAAATTTTATTTGTAAATTTCATATGTAAATTTCTACAATGCATTAATTTATGTTTATTTATTATTGATTTTTTATTCTATTATTTTAATAAATATACAAGAATATATATATATATATATATATATATATATTTATATATATATATATATATATATATATAAATTTAAATATTATAATCTTATATTAGAAAGACTATAAAATTACAAAAAATAAAATTCTAGCTCTAAATATTTTTAAATGAATTGTCATATAATAAATTTTTAGATTTTGTAGATTTCAAAGAAAACCTTAAATATTTTTTTTAGATATCTATATTATTAAATAAAATTACTTAATAAAAATTAATTAAAACATTAATATATATTATAAATTCTATTAAAGTTTTACAAAATATCAAATTTGTAGTAAAAATAGAAGCCAAATTCTTATTTATACATATTGAATATTTAAAGATAAAAGATGTTATAAATAAATATTAAAAAAATCATATAAAATTATGTAAATGACATAATTATGATTCCATTATTATTAATAAGTAGAACTTATGATATTTAAAATATAGCTTATAGTTATATTAGTAAAGTAGAAAAAATATTTAATTTTATAATTAATCATATTTTTTCTTTTATTTTTTTATTAATAAAATATGAGCCAAAATTATTTATTTTATTTATTTTTAATTTAATTTAGTTTTTTATCATTTTATAAAATAATTTTGAGTATTTTATTTCTTTATATATATATATATATATATATATATGGAATTTATTTCTTTCTTAAATAATATTTTAATAGAATAAGTAATATCAACAAAGAAAAAGCATTAGCACTTTAGTTAATTGCAATAAAAAAAAATCGTCTTATATTTTAATACACAAAAAAATAACTTTTTAATAGTTCTTAAATTTTTAATTCAAAAAAAATTAAAATTTTTTTTTTGTTAAAGATAGTAGATAGGTCCTCTCAATCATCAATAGTGTCTTATACTAGGACTAAAAAACCACCTTATTATTTGCTTATTGTTGATGCATTCATAACTTTAAATAAAATATTTGAAATACTATTAAAAATAATTCTTACTTCTAATAATATTGCCAAATATTAAGAGTCTCTTCCAAAGTTGTAATACTAAACATGTTGTGGCTTGCCATCTTTTGAAAGAATATATTGTGCTTGAGGATCTTTAACTTTATTATGTCGTCTTGAAGGCTATAACAATCTCAATGGCTTATCTTATAACTTAGTATAAGATAGCAATTAAGTTAAATTTATTGGTAGTTGATTTTTCATCTCATTATTGCCACAATACAAAAAAAACCAAAAACAAGGATAGAAGATAGAATGCAATATTTATTCTATCTGATTTATTTTATAGAAAGGAATTTCTTAAATCTTTATTTTGATTTTGTTGCAAATTTTCAATGAAAAGAATTAACCTTTTGTATTGCATTTGAAAGTTTCTTAAATGGCTACCATGTAAGTTTACTAATATCATATCTACATTAATAAATAAGATATTTTAACTTGTTTTGGCATTGCATTGAGTCCAAGACCTCTTTTTTTTTAAATTAATGTTTTTTTATCTATTTCTATAAGAAGAAGTGGCATCTATCTTCTTTCTAATATATCTACTATCTTGTATGGCTTAAAAAGATACACAGAGAATATAAAATGAATCTTTATTGATATATAATTAATATGCAATTAGATTGATCTATTTATAAATATAAAATGTTCATAGTCTATTGCAATTTAACTTATCATAAGGGCAATTAGTCTTGATATTACAACAAAGTAATCATTGCTTATCACCAATGTCAATTTGAAGTTATTCCTTGTAATAGATTCTTGCATTAATCTTTTGCCATTATTAAGCTTCCTTTAATTGTATCTTTATTGTTACATGTACTTCTAACAAACAATTTTAAAAATCCTTTGCCATAAGATTATTAACTTTTAAGAAGTTAAAATTATCAAATTATGGATGATAATCATGATTAGCATAGAAAGGTGATTATTAAATAAAAAATATATATTATATCATTACATACAAAAAATTTCAATGACAAAAGAGTTGTTCAATCATCTTGATGATTATTAATTATATATTTCAAATACTACTCTAAAACTTAATTTACTTATTTTTTATCTATTAATTTAAATATAAAAGGCTAAAAATAGTTTTATGTCCGATCTGAATATCTTAAAAAGAATTTTCTGAAACATGGATTCAAATTGAATTTTTTTATTTGATATAATATCTTTTGGCAATCAATAATAATAATAAATATTATTTTAAAATATTTTTTATTTTTTTACTTATGATATATTCTATATATGATATATTATATAATATTTTAATAAAATAATCAACTATTATAAATATAGAATCATAAGAACTTGAAATTAAAAGATTTATGATAAAATCTATAAAAACAAATGATTTTAGTTGATTAAGTCTAGGTAGTAGTTAAAAAAATCAATAAGAATAGTAATGAGGAGTTTTTAATCTTAAACAAATATGACAATATTGTACAAAGTCTTTTATTACCTTCTATATTTGAAACCACTAAAAATCTTTTGAGATTAAGTTCAATGTCTTATTATATCCAAAATATCTTGCAATTAAAAAATCATAATGAGGTTGATAAACACATAATTATGCTTTATTTTCTAAAATATATAAGTATTTTTTGAAATAGAAAATATAGTTCTTAAGTTTAAACTTAAAAATATGAGATTTAAAAAAATTATTCTTAATATCATATATAAGAGATCCAAAGACATATTTGATTGTATTTAATTAAAATATATTAAATTAATAATTAATGTTTATTTTATTCATCAAAGATAAAATTACTCTAGCTTCAAAAGAATTGTTCATTATTAATTAAAACTTGCATCTATTTCTTTTGTTATAAGATAAAAATATATGAAAAAGACATCTAAAAAATCTAATTATTTTTTTAATTAATAAATAGTCATAAATACAAATCTTAAAAAAATATTGCTTCAACAAGCTTGGCAACAATTCAAGTCATGCTAACATAAAGTATTTGAATTTTTTTTGTAATTAGAATAAATAATCATTGGATAAAAAGTGCTTTCTAGATAATGATACTATTTAAAAATAAATTTACAATTGTAAGAATCTCTTTATTATGGATCTTATAATTGATCTTGGTTGCTAAATTTTTTTTGAATAAAAAGCTATAAAGTGAAGTTTTTCATATGCTTTCTTTTGTGATAATATTATACCTAAAGAAAAGTCTAATACATCAATTTTCATAAAAAAATATCTTAAAAAATTCAATATAACATAAGATTAAAATTGTGATAAAAATTATTTCTAAAAATTCAAATGTTATTTTAGATTCTTTATTCCACTTTAATTTTTCATTACTAGTCAAATATATAAGTAAAGTTACAACTTAAGAAAAATTCTTAATAAAAATCTAATAGTAGTTTAAAAATTCTAAAAAGTCTTAAATATCTCTTATTATTTTTAAAGTCTTGTAATCTATATTAGTTTGATTTTCTTAGGATCCATCATAAGACTATTATTTGAGATGGTATATTCAAATATGTATATGTATATATATATATATATATATATATATATATATATATAATTTTAGCATATAGACTATATTTTTAAATTTTTATAATACATGAAAAATAAGAAATTTATGCTCTTTTGTATTCTTAGAATATATTAAAGTTTTATCTAGATAAAAAAAATTATCTAAAAATCTATAAAAATAGTATTTATTAAATGTTAGAAAGTAATTGACACATTTGTAGGTTCAAAAGATATGACATTATATTCACAATACTCATACTTAGTTTAATATGCATTCTTTTATTTATATTTTTTTTAATGCATACCAAGCTATATATTTGTTGTAGATTTATTTTTTTACATAGATATTTTTTTAATACAATTAATCAAAAAGTCATGATATCAAAGGTAAAAGATATCTATTCTTGATTGTAATCTTGTTGAATCTTAAATAATCTACTCACATCTGCATTGATCCATCTTTCTCCTTTGGAAGTAAGATAAGAATTCTTTCTAGAGATTTTAAATAGCAAATGAAGTTCTTGGCCAAGTTTTTATCAATATACTTAATGAGTGAAGCCAACTTATTTTGTGTTAAGTTATAAATTGATCCAAATGGTAATGATTTTTTTTTTTTGAAGATCAATTGAATAATCATAAAGACAATGTTTTAAAAATATATTTGTATTTTTCTTCTCAAAGACATCTTGATAATCTTTATAATAAATTAAAATGCCACTTGAAGTCTTTTCTTCATTAGAAATAGGTGTGGCATAAATAACAAAAGGTGATCCTTCTTTTGTAACATTTATGAAAGCTTTTGCATTTATAAGTAAGAATTTGGATATACTAGACTTATGACATTTCTAATTTATTAAAAAAAATCTTAATTATACTAAAAAAAATTATAATTATAAGAAATTCAATCTATTTAAAGATAATATATTTTTAATTATGATAAATAAAAATAATTAGATTAAAAAGAGATCTAATCATATTAAATATTATTAAGCTATTATGAATATTTTTTAAAAAATTCTACAAGAATAATTTGATGCATAAAAATTTCAAAAAATAAATGACAAACATCTATGATTTTCATATATATGGACTTAATTTTTTTTATTAAGAAAATTCTATCTCTTTTAATAAAATCTTCATCTACAAAAGAAGTTGAGATTCTTAAATCTAATAAAGAAAAGGCCTTATGATTTTTAGGTCCTAAAAATATATCTATTGTTAAATAAAGTGATGGTTTTGAAGAGAAAATATGACTTTCATTAGATATTGCATAAGATTCCAACCACATGGTCTCTATTGTAGCTAGACAAACTTATTTTCTAATACATTGCCTTCTTTAGATAATGTTTGGCAATGCACTTTGATTCTCTACAATATGA